TACCACCACATCTGCTGCTATTATTACCCTAACCTCTTCCCATGGATAATTCATCACCCTTACCTTCCAACCACATTCTCTTTCTGTCTTACTCAGCCTTGATTCCTCACATCTGCACGTCCTTTCACGGTCATAATGACACACTGCTCAAGTTAAATTAATTACTTTGTAAAACCCATTCCAGTTTTCACTCTTTAAGGAATAGTTTGTCATTTTGGAGGATACCCACATTTGCGGCCCTGGTGAGAGTTAGCGACTTAGCTTAGAGGACCAATGCCGCTCTTCTATCTGTCATTCAGACTTGAAGCTAGAGTCTAGAGTCTTAGCTTAACTTAGCATAAAGATCAATAATAGCTGGCCTGGTTTTCTCCAAAGATAAAGCAAATATATACTCTGAGTGTGTTTCTAGTCAAGACACTTTCATCTGTTACCATGTGGAAGGTCAGAGATTCATGAGAAATTTTCAGTTGAGTCACCAGCATGCTCACTTTTAACTCAGGGAAATAGTGAAGAAACTTAAAGCCATGCAATAATTATTTGTTTTTCATTTCAGTGTGAACATTAAGACTCTTTAATACACAAGCCTAACCTCTTCACAAAATATACTGGGTCAAAAAACCCCCACCAGATAATAAAGTCGAAGCATCCCAGTGCAATTAAATATCTCTTCTAACTATCAACTACAATACAAGTATTGTGAGGTCAAATAATCCCACCACCAGCTTGTATATATATGTGTGTGTGTGTGTGTGTATGTGTGTTGTATTTTGTTTTTTGTTTTTTTTTAATATGTTTAACAAATACTTAGCTAACCGTGGTTAGGACCCCTGTCAGTCACGTGACCAGGCGGAGTCTCTGGTTTGTACCAGCTGCTTCCTCACCTTTGCTGTGCCGGTTTTATAGTGACAAGAATGTAAATCATGCACTTAAAAAAAATGTTGTCCTGTGTTGTCCTTTAAGCAACACCTCTTTACTCTCCTGCGTGTTGGGTGCACCTTGTATTTCATTGTATATTTATTCGTGCGCTTTTCAAAGTTTGTAACCTTGAAAACACGCTTTCTTTGGCGAGGGGAGGGAGGCTTTTATATTTTTGTGTTAGACATGTTGCTGACAAGTATGTTGCACGCCCTATCACCTGCATGTGATCTTGATGGAAATCTCTGGTTTTCTGTTCACGCATACGCGCGCACACACTTTGCACTTCCCGACTTTGAAAACTGCCAATAGAGCAACAGCAGGCTGTTTCAGCACTCTGGACAGTTCCTCCACAGAGACCCGCGGGGATGTTTGAACCGGAGGCTCTCCTCAGCAACACCACCACTCCCACCCAAGTAAGACTGGGGACACCAAGGCTGAGTCCAGCACTGAGATTTGCCACTTCCAGATCCTGATTGTGTGTGCGCGCACGCACAGATGACTCCACTGGAGTCACACAACCCTTCCCCCACATACGCATATCATCCACCCAGAGCTATTCTATCTGTATGGAAATTTGGGCTCCACAGCTGGAATCCCACAAAGCACTGTCATCTACTAATAGTTATTATCGCTTTGGCCTGCTCCCTCACAAAAACCCTGCAATACAAGCACATCGCATCTTTATGGTAATGCCCTACAATAACAGCCCCAAGCTATGGTGCATAGACCTTTGTTATCATTACGATAATTCCCATTCTCACTTGACTCCTCATTACACTATTGAAACTGCTCGGGGTTGGATATAGACAAATTCCTGTATCTTCCTTTATTACACTGTAGCATACAGTGATAGTGCACAGAACTTAGGGTCCCTAAATACTCAAGCAGTCCCTATAATGGCAATTTAAGAGTTGTTCTTGTGAATTAGCAGCAGAGAGATCTGTTTGCTATAGCATTAAGGCGCTTTTGAACTTGGTTCTTGTTGGGGATGAACAGCGTAGAGTTTAAATGCAGATTGGATTATGTTATATTATGTTTGACAAAACTCTGTTTATTTTTATTATACTGTAGGAAAGAAATAGCAAAATTATTTTTGAGGTCTTTTTTTCTTTGTCAACTGCTTTGTTCAAGGTCAATTTTACTTCACACATAAAAAAAAACTTCTATGGTCTTCTGTGGTTAAAAATTCTAAGGTTAAAAATGAATTAATGCATATTAGGTTGTTTCCAATGTAATTTAACACATATTTGCTACAGTGTTAATCTCTAGAATATATTAGTATATTACTGTCTTTTTGTCAGCATTATTTTTCGGTACTGGTGGTAAATATAGCTTAACATATCTGATCTCAAAGTTAAGTTAAATGCTGCTACGACCGTTTGATTTCTTTGTGTATTTTTTTTTATTTTTCTTCCTTTGATTTTTCTATTTTATTTTATTTTATTACTTTTTTGTCCAGCATCGACCAAAATCTTCATTCGCTGCCACCAGGATCGTGAACTCTGTGCTCTGAACTCTGCATCTTCAATCATGAAGCTCATTGCCTTTAGTGACTGCTTTAGCTGCACGCTCGATCTAATTGTATTACACATATTAGTATGGGCAAAATGCATCTTTGAATCAGTGTGATGTTTGCTCTCTGATGGGTGCAGAGTTCATCATGAGAAAAAAAGGATTTGAATTTGCCAGGAGGTTTTTTCTCTCTCTCTCTCTCTCTTTTGGCCTGTTTTTTCCAAAACAGACGAGTCTGTGATTTACGACACACGCCTTCTACGATGCGCTTCAGGTCAGCTCTATATTGCAAGCAAGGCTCAGAGAGACATGGCAGCTTGTGTCCTTGCATCTCTCCATGAATGCCCACACAAGGCCTCTGGATTGCACAAAAAAGTAATTGCGGAGTGATGGGCACAGCTTGTCCCGTGCAGCCTGTGTCCCACACTTGAAGGCTCTCCTCGGAGCACCCTCATTGTCACATAGCCTTTTAGCACCTTTGTTCCTTCCTTCCCTCAGGACCTCACAGCTCACCATTGGCAGATGAGTCCCTGTCTGTGACAAAAGGGTCCCTGCGCTCAGCCTCATTTGATGCTGTGATGAACTCCCCCCC